ACGCAGGGGACGCAGCAAGAGCCGCGCAGCCGACAGTGCGCGCGCGCCCGTTGCGGCGCTGCTGCGCGACTCGGTCGGCACGCTCTCGCGCGGCGCTACGGTGCAGGCGCTGCGCAACGACGTGCGTGTACTCGACGAGGTCGATGGCGGGCGGGGCGGCGTGGACGATTCGCCCACCCGCATGCGCATGCGCAACGTAGCCCTGCGCAAGGACGTGCCCGCCGCACGCATCACACGCACCAGCAAGATCATGCGTCTCATCGAGGATGCCGAAAACATGCCGATCATCGTCGCCAACACTGCAGAGAAGGCCTCGCTCTCGTCGTCCCTCACCAACAAGAGCCGCGACCGCATGCACGCCATCACGCGTGTGCTCGGACAGCGCCAACCAACCGCTGATGCTCAGCCACAACCACCACTGCAACGCACCTAATTCCCTCTCCATTGACACTTGCTCTTCTGCCTACACATTCCTACCTCCCTCTAATCATGCCCGGGCCCTTGTCGTCATTCATTCGTCCATTCTTTTTCTCGCATGCAAAGCATTTCTGCCTTTTGGGTTCATCACATCATATTCATGCTTGGCAACGAAAGTGAAAGAGTGTCCGTTTGAGATATTACCAGTGACCCGAGAACGACAACATACAAAAACAAGCAGACCCGGTCGGGGCTGGAGCCCGCTCCTACGCCAGTGGCGGCAGCCGTTGCGTGCGCGCATCAAGCGCTCAGCACAGATCGGGGTAGACCTTCTTTGTCCTGCCCACAATCTTCTTGACGTCCTGCGACCTGGCCCTGGTGGTGATCAGCAGAGCATCTGGCGTGTCGACCACCACGACATCGTCGACACCCAAACACGCAATCGGACGGCCCGCAGCGGGAATGATGAGACCTCCCGCCTGCGACTCGGTGATCACCAACCTGGGGTCGCCCAAGATCCTCGGCTCGCCCTCCTCGGCAGGAATGAGGTCGGCGAGCGACGCAAAGTCTCCAACGTCGTCCCAACCAAAAGTGGCAGGGATGACTGCCACCTTGCCCACTTTCGATGCCGGTTCGGCGACGGCGTGGTCAATGGCGATCTTGGGCAGCGTGGGCCAGATTTCGCTCATGACCGCGGAGCGCGCATCCGAGTCCCAGGCAGCAGCAATGCGTGTCAACCCATCGTGGAGGTCGGGGACCGTCTCCTTGAGCAGATCGAGGAGCACCTGGGCCTTGACCACAAACATACCGCCGTTCCAGCGGTAGTCACCGGTCGAGAGGTAGGCCGAGGCGGTGCGCGCATCGGGCTTCTCCTTGAACTCGGTGACGCGGCGGGCGTTGGGCGCCTCGTTGACGGCGAGCTTCTCGCCCAGCTTGATGTAACCGAAGCCGGTGGAAGGGTGCGAAGGGGCGATGCCGATGGTGACGAGGTAGCCGGCCTTGGCGGTGGCGACAGCTTCTGTGACGGCCGACTCAAAGGCGTCGCGACCCGAGATGATGTGGTCGGCGGCAAACGAGCCGAGGACCGCCTCGGGGTCGCGCTGGAGCAGCACGGCGGCGGCGAGACCGATGGCAGCCATCGACTCCTTGGGCGAGGGCTCTGCGAGCACGTTGGCGGTCTCGAGCTCGGGCAGCTGGGCGGCGACGCCACTGACGTGAGCCTGGCCCGTGACAATCATCATCTGTGCCTGACCAGCTAAGGGCAGCAAACGGTCCCAGGTGCTCTGCAGCAGCGTTCGGCCCGAGCCGGTGAGATCGAGGAGGAACTTGGGGTACGACTCGCGCGAGAGGGGCCAGAGGCGCGTTCCGGCACCACCGGCAGGGACGACCGCCCAAAGACCGAGCTTGGGCTCCTCGGCGAGCAGCGGAGCGGGCTGTGCAAGTGAGGAACCGCCCATGGAGAGGTGAGGAGCGTGGAGGAGGTCAAGCGTGCCGTTCTTGGGAGGCGAGGATCCGCGGCGGCCGAGACGTGGCAGGAGGCCTGGGCTCTTGAGCGCGGGCGACATGGATCCTGGGGTCATGGAGCTGTAGAACGAGTTTCTCCTTGCGTTGACTTCGTTTTGCGTCTCCATGTTGTCCATTCGGATGTGCAAACGGGAAAGCTGTGGCAAGGCGGTTCGGAGAGTATGTGGGTCAGTGAATGCGAGCAGCAGCGGCGGTATAGATGCGAGAGCAGTCACTCACCTCCTTCTGCATGGTGAGAATGCCCGAAAGCACCTGGTCAAGGGCAGACTGTTCCGAGACGTTGCCCATTTTGCTTGAGGATGCGGCTGCGCCGGTGTGAAGGTCTTGAGCCGAGAGGCTGTTGAGGGCGTCCTCGTCTGCGGCGAGTCGAGCGTCGCGCGAGGAGAAAGAGGAGGCGGTTGACGAAGCGCTGGCAGGGGCAGGGCTGATGCGGTAGTCGTCGAGCTTGGAGCCAGAGCGCGGGTCGACGGACGAGTCGAGGAAGCTGCTACGTGGGATGGCGACGGGAGTAGTCGGAGACTGGCTGG